ATTATTAGTTATTAGCATAGTTATATTATAGTATATAGTAGTTAGAAAATAGGATCTTAATTGGCTGTTAGAAGTGTGATACAGACATATGACATTGGGTAACATTTATGATGTCATTATTGTCTTACAAACTCCAAGTACCCCTACACAAGTTTTATGTATCCTAGTACAATTTACTGTGCCAAATACCATAGTACAAACAATCTCCAAGTATCTCAACACAATCTCTAAGTGTCCCTGCACAATTCCAAATATCCCAACACAATTCTCAAGTGTTCCTGCACAATTTCAACTGTTCCTGCACAGACCCAAGTACCTTGACACATGCTTCAAGTGTTTCAAGTACAAATGACAAATATACATAAACATTGTACCAACTATCCCTGTACAAACTTTACTTACACCTACATAATCCCCACTATTCCCACTAGGTAAAAAGATATATAAAAGATACCTTTTCCCCTTTCTTGCCAATTCTAAGTTCCTACACTTCAACCCAAACATAATGACCTTTTAATGATAAAATGTAATATTTCCCCTCTAAAGTAATTCCTACAAGCAAGGTTATTACCATGTGTGTTGTTAATAAAAAGTTAATCTATATACTGTTATTATCTCGAACTGGTTGCCTACTGCTATGTAGTAAAGTGAACTACTACACCTCCACCCTGTATATATTTGCAATAGTCAATTACTGTACCAGGTGACCTTGTTACTTGGTTGTATTGTACTAAGAAGGCTGCAACCCTGTAACAGTGACTATAAAAAACAGAAATTATATATATTTTTAACTAATATATTTGATTTATGTAGAATTACAATTAAGCTAGTAGACTCGTGTCTATTTGCGATTCATGAATTAAACTTAAAGAATGTTTGAATCAATTGTTTATTTGAGTTATTTGAGTCATAAAGATAAAAAATAAATATTATTATGATGACAAATGCTTATGTTTTATTCTAATCTGCGAAGACAAGTTTATTTTCAAATTTCATAATATCATATTTTATGGGCCAAACCATCCCCCCTGTCAGATTATGCAGACTTTTTTATGATGCATATCAGATCAGCATAGAACAATTGCTAGGCATATTAACAATGAAATTGCTATTATTATAATGTTAACAATTGCCATTATTCCAACAAAATGCAAGTTAATATTAATGATCATTGCTTTTAATCAAAACAGAATTTGTTTGTTATTTTGCAAAATAGTGTGTTTTGTACTTCTTTTATATATTTTTGTAATTGTAATAAAAAAATTTGCAAAACAAATGGATTTTTATAATTGTATTGAAGAAAAGATTTACATAAAAAACAGTTTCTTTTGTAAGTTTTTATATTTTATGATAAATGTTTATTGTTACTTGTTACTAACACAATCTTTAATAAATATAAGTTTCGATATATATATGATGTAAAAAATATTCTTTTCAAAAAAAAAAATTTAAAAAATACCTTTCCAATATAATAAAAGTATTTCAAAAATGCATATAACCAAAAAATTAAAAAGAAAATAGAATGCCTGCAAAAAATTAAGAATCATTACTTACTATAAACAAAATCAATCTAAATTAAGTATTAAAGAAACATGTAGAAATTTTAGTATTCAACCAAATCAATTACATGACTGGATAAAAAAAAAAGATAAATTAATTGAAGCATCACCAAAGACTTTTAAGTTACATAATGGACACTTACCTCATTATGAGCAAATTAAAGAAATTTTATTTGAATAGATTACAAATTAACATCAATTACAAAATTTTGTTACTCAGGACATGATAATTGCAAAAGCAGTTTTACTTACTCAAACTACAAATTTTCAAAATCAACCAAATCTTCAATCATTTAAGTTTTCAAGTATCTGGCTTAATGGTTTTTTAAGTCATTATAAATTATCAATTTGTCATTAAACAACTATTGCACAAAGACTACCAGAAGATTTAGAAGAAAAAAAACAAAATTTTCTTAATTATGTTTTAGGTTTACAAATTCAATACAATTATCCTTTATTTTTAATAGGAAATATAGATGAAACTTCCCTCACATTTGATTCTTCAAACTCATCAACAATTGAAAAGTGAGAAATCCATACTATTAGCATCCAAACTATTGGTAATAAAAAAAAAATTTTACTGTTATTCTTGTGTGTCTGCTGATAGAACAAAATTACTACCAGTATGTATATTCAAGAGAAAAACCTTACTTCAAGAAAACTTTCTCCATAATGTTATTGTTTGAGCAAATGAAAAAAGTTGGGTTAATGAAAATGAAATGCTATGGTAGATTGAAAATATTTGGTCTAAAAAAACATCTAATAATCCAAGATCTCTTTTAATACTTGACTCATTTCGTGCACATTTGGTAGATCCAGTTAAGCAACATTTGCTTACTCACAATACTAATATGACTGTGATTCCTGATAGACTTACTTCTAAATTACAACCACTAGATGTCAGTATTAACAAAAGTTTTAAAGCAAAAATTCATATATTTTATAATCATTGGATGTCAGAAACCATCTATGATTTAACACCTTCAGAGTGTATTAAATGACTATCATATTCGCAACTTGCCTTGTAAGTGACAGTTACCTGGGAATCACTTGATCCAGATTTAATTAGACATTCGTTTGGTTGTTGTAATATTTGATTTTTTTGTCAACAGTTATTGCTATATTATTACACATAAATAAACTATATATAAACTATAATATGTACACTCCCCTAACAAAAGTCATCAGATTTTTAATAATCATAATGATCTAACCTAATTGGTTGTGATCGTAGCTACATATAAACCCGATTTTTTTTTTATATGCAAATCAGTCTTTGTGCAATAAGTAAAGTTGTTTGCCATAGCGATTTGTATATAATTTGAGAATTTTAGAAAATTTTGTTAAGTTTTTTTGAAAATATTTTTATATTTTAGATGAAAAAAAAACAAAAATAAAAAACAATAATTAAAATTATCATATCTCGATGCATTCTTGAACTCTTTAGAATTTTTTTAAAAAAATTTAATCCTATGTGCTTTAGAACATAGTGAACAACTTTAATTAAGTCACTAATTAGTATTAACAATACAATTGTTCCAGGATTGATGTATTTAATAAAATTTTCAATTTTAAAAAAAATCCTATTTTTTGTATCTTAAAATTTTATATAATAAAACTTTGTAAAATTTATAAAAATATGATTTTTAAAATACAATATATATATTGTATTATATTATATTATATATTATTTATGTTATTAGATTATTCCAATATAAATTTTACAAAGTTTTATTATATAAAATTTTAAGATACAAAAAAATAGAATTTTTTTAAAATTGAAAATTTTATTAAATACATCAATCTTGGAACAACTGTATTGTTAATACTAATTAGTGAATTAATTAAAGTTGTTCACTATGTTCTAAAGTATATAGGATTAAATTTTTTAAAAAAAATCCTAAAGAGTTCAAGAATGCGTCGAGATATGATAATTTTAATTATTGTTTTTTATTTTTTGTTTTTTTTTCATCTAAAATATAAATATGTATTCAAAAAAACTTAACAAAATTTTCTAAAATTCTCATTATATGCAAATCGCTATGCCAAACAACTTTACTTATTGCACAAAGACCGATTCGCATATAAAAAAAATCAGGTTTATATGTAGCTACGATCACAACAAATTAGGTTAGATCATCGTAATTATTAAAAATCCGGTGACTTTTGTCAGGGGAGTGTACCATCGAAATATCCGCATTGCCCATAAAATACGGTATATGTGACAATTGTTTAATATCTTTTATTGTACGGGTCTTAAGTTGCGTGAGACTAGTACAATAATAAAAAATAACGGTCACCTATGTCACATGGCTGAAGGCCATGTGACTTGTACAAATTTAGTTACTTTCTACAACTTATACAATACCTAAACTATAACTGATAAGTGCATATTAGAGATAATTGATATCGTTGATATCGTTACGATGGTTTTTTTCTTATAATTTATTAATAAATTAAATAGGATTTCTTTATTAGCATTAAAAGATTACACAGATTATATAATTCACGTTAGAAAGAAACCGATATCCAAGAGAATGGGAAAAGTTTACATGTGATTATAGACTAGTGCATTTGGAGTCAAACCTTGGTTTAAGGAATTATAGCTGACTTTGATAAGTTTTACATCGCTATCCTGAGGTGTAAACCAAATTTTTATCACATGAAAAACAGATTTTTAGTATGGTAAATTTATGTCATGTAGAAATAAAGCCTTCGCTTCCCTCCGAGCTAATAAAGATTGAAATATATTTTTACATGTCGATCAAATTTTTAATTGTAATTCTCACAAACTGTTTATGTAATGCATCAGAACTGAGGCACTGGATGTTTTGGGAATAAATTTTTAATATACGTAAATCAACATATACCGAAAACAGAAACAGATATCCGGATGCATATCTGGTTGTTATAGGACAAAGAATTGCGTTTACTCGATTACAGCAAATCACAAAATTCAATGTCCCTGACGGGATGGTTTTACAGGTTCTGAACCGGATAACTGATAATCATGCTTACCGTTACTGGTCAGAGCATAAATCATACGTAATTATGCGAGTCAACAGGTAAGATTTATTATCTGTCCTAGAAAAGTATTATTATTGGCCAATAAGTACTTTTTACTTGCCATTCAGCAGGAACAAATCAACAATACTTCTAATAAAAACAAAAAGGTCTTAATAACACATTCAATATAGTTTTTGTTAAAGAAAATGAATAGTTCAATTATAATGTACGTAGGTGAAATACGATGCCTACATTATTCCTAACCAAGAAACTTCACGTGACGTCATAGGTCCACTCTGCTGCATTGCATTGTCTTTAGTGTAACGCAGATATATATATCATATATAGAAACTTTAGCTGCTTTAAACTTTAAAAAAAAGCTATACTTGCTTTACTAGTTTATGGTTTCTTTCATCCTAAAATTCATCGCAAATAATGGCATCTACGACAATAGAAACCGAAGAATATGACGCTTTAGTTAAACAAATGCTAGAGTCGGACGACGGAGATATTGGAAAGAATTTTTCAATAACAACAAAGGGGTCTTCAGTAGGATCATTACCACCAGAACTTGAAGCTGCCATGGAAGACGAGACTCATGCTGAACAATACTTGAACAATTTGAAAATTAAAGTTGAGGCTTGGAAAACGACTGGGTTAACAGGTGCAATGAAAAGAGCTTTCGAACTTTTAAATGAAAATGGAATGACAGATGGGACGGGTTTGGAAGAAGACGAGGACACTGATGGAAGGTTAGAGCCCATGATACTTCGCTGGCAAAATCAGACTTTGTAATTTGCATTTTGATGCAATTTACACTTTAATATTCACAATAACGTTGCGAATTGAGTTTCTTACAAATCTAAATTTACAACCTATTTATTACGATCTTATTTGATTTTATTAAATTTAACTGGATTGTTTTCATACAGTAATGATGAACCATCTACACCTATAACGGAAATCCAAGACCTCCATTCTCATCCAAAAATAGCAGAGGGTTCAATTTCACGCCTTGGTAAAATTACCTTGACAATAATTACACTTAATAAACAGAAATCGTAAATTAATTTTTCATACATCTATTCAATAAATATCAGTGAATGGGGTCTCCTCATTGGTTGATATTGAAAAATGCTTTAAAGGACTTCAAATACCGGAATTGGATCTCACAATTACTCCAGAGAGTAAAATAACAGCTACTCTTAATGAATTATATAAATTACAAGAAGATCTTCAAATTCATTTGCAAGGTGGACCGTTAGCCGATCCATCAACTTTAGGCACACAAAGACGAAAAAAAGTATCAGATCTGCTTGAAAGGGTCATGAAAGAGGCTGCATTATATGAGGAATTTGTAAATAGAGGTATAGTAAATTTTTCTATTTTGATTTTGATTTTTTTCATAATATATCCGACTTAACGCAAATTTCTTTATATACTTGTTATATTAGCATCACATCTTAGTTTAGAAAGAATTCTAAATGAATCAGATATGTCCAGTGAAGAGGAATTTCAAGATTCTGAAACTTTGGATACAGAATCTGGAATTCATTATTTTGAGGTTAATTTCATTTATTATAAATTTTATTCTAAATTTATACAAATTCTGATATCACATAAATTTATTATGTAGGATTCCTTTTCAGATATGTCTCGCAAATCTACAACAACCACATCAACAGCTTCCCTTTCACCACGTTCACTAAGGCCAATCGACCCAAATCTTTTTCGTCTTCGCACTATGTCAAATGCATCGGTTCCTTCGATGCGATCTCGTGCATCATCCCGTCATTCACGTTCATCATCTCCGTCTGTATTAGACCTTGAAGACATGGGTTTGTTTTCGCCGCCGGAACCTCGAGAAGCATTTCGGTGGTGTCCTTTACCAAAAATTTCTGATCATTTATACTCACAGGACTTTAGACATGATGCAGGTTTGGCAACTGTACTTGCTGTGAGTAATTTATTGTAATTACATTTGTTCAGTTTTATTTTAAATGAATTATAACATAAACCAGTTTGTCTGATTGTATATTCCTTTTCTTTTGCTAACGTGTAGGTGAGTAGTATAATCGCTGTTGGTACTACACGTGGATTGGTCATGGTATATGACATTTATACACAAAGTTTAAAGTGTATTTTGGGCAGCACTTCAAATGGTACTATATAAAACCTTTATGTATGCGTATTTCCATTTTTTTTTTTAGAAAATTTCTTTTTATAATTAATATTTTACACAATTTGTCTGTAGCTCTTGAACATGGTGCAGTTACATCACTCACAATTTCTTCAGATCACACACAAATTATTAGTGGTCACGCGGAAGGCTACATTTTAATATGGGATATTCAAAGGTATTCAAGTCCATCTCGGACCATTGCACCTATATCCCCTGCTGTTGCAGCTGGTGGTGGAAAAGAGGGTCATATTCGTGGCTCTACAATTTTACATGTTGGGTTTGTTGGTGTTCGAAAAAATGGTATCGTTTCTGGAGATAATCATGTATGTTTTGAACTTGATGTATAATTTCTTAAATTTTTGAAATTTAAATCTGTTTGATGAAAATCTTTATTTACATATATATTAATTATCAGGGAATGGCATTCTATCATAACTTATACAAAGTAATGATGGTCAATGCAACTGAAACAACACGTATCCTTGGTCGATATCCTGTTTCTATACCAACTCATGAAACACCTGTTGCATCAAAACCAAATAGACCCAGTACAGTTTTCGGATTGGCTCCACTACCTTTAGGACAGTCGACACATGGGTCCGAAAGTTTTGGCCTTGTTGCTATGCTAACACCATATAAGGTACTAATTATGCATTTATCAAAATTTTATGATAACATTTATTTAAAGTTTTTGTTAATTCTATCCCATTATATAGATGATAATAGTGAGTACAAAACCAACAGCCCAAACTCAATATAAATGTATAAAACCTAAGTGTGTTTCATCAGATTCCACTCCATCATCTAAATCAACATCCGGTTGTTTGGCTTGGTTCCCAGCTTCTAAACATCAATCTAATTCAGGCGACATGACTTTGGGTTGCAAAAAAATCTTTATTTTTTTTGAGATCTTTGTTTCTTTTTTATTATTTAAATTTTATTTTTTAATCGCGTATCTATTTATTGTAAATAGATCCACTTCTTGCTTTTTCATGGGGAAATCATTTGAACATTTTGAAAATTACTATTGTACCATCTACAATTACTGAAATTTCAAAAAAACGACGATCTGAACGCGATATTCGTTTGGAATTCATTAAGATAGGCGAATGGAAAGGAATGAATAGTATAGTCGGATTACAATGGCTTTCTTCTCAAGTACATCTTAAGTGATACTAAATTTATTCGAAAAAATGCAATGATCTGTTTCCGTTGATATAACTTACTAGTACTATATTGTTATCTAGATTTTATTGATATTGACAAGTACGGAAGACGTCGTCGTTTTTGATCCTAGGTGCATGCAGGAAAGTGAGCATAGTAATATCAGGCAACGTTCATTGGTATATCACGATAGGTTTTCTTCACTTTTGAAAGATCTTTCTGAGGATTCAACCAACCAGATAGATTCCTTTAGGACATCTGCTACTATGGATCTAGCATATTATCATAGTTTGCAGGTTTATAAAGGAAAAGTGTTTCTATTGGTATGTATTTAATTATTTTCCTGGATAATATTTTTATCATTTATTTTTATTTTATCTTATTTTTTAATTATATAATTTCAATAAGGGGGTGCACCAAATTTATATTGGCACACTTTTAACATGGGAAGATAGAATAGTTGCGCTTGTAGGGTCTGGAGATTTTCTAGAAGGAATTTCTCTTGCCACATCTTTTTATAATGGCACTTCTTCTCAAACAATTCTTGGTCTTCCAGATGATGAAGAAACTCGTCATACAAGTGTTGGGGAAAAACTTATGGAACTATTAATAATATCCATAAATTACGCTTTTTCTAGCGAACGAACATTTCAAGGCATGGTAGATGAGCAAAATAGCAGTGGTAACGTCTTGTTCCATGATCTAGCCATTGCTTGCATTGAAGCATGTCTTAGTATGCATAGGGAAGATTTCCTTTTCAGCGACGTATATGAGAAATATTCTGAAGCCTGTGCTAAAGGAATATTACTTGAAGTTCTAGAACCATATATTCTTAAAGATAAAATAAAAGATCTTCCACCGGAAGTTATGAAAGACCTTGTCACTCATTATCGTAACAGACGTATGCTTCAACGAGTAGAAGAATGTATATGGCACATTAATCCACAATGCTTAGACATTGATCAAGTGGTTCAACTTTGTCATAGTGAAAAACTCTACGATGCTTTAACTTACGTTTGGAATCGATCCATGGTTGATTATGTGAGTCCAGCGGTTGAACTTCTCGCAGTTATTAGAAAAATTTTAATTTTAGAAAAAAGAAAAAAGAAGAAGAATCGATTTTCTATTTCAAGTGGTTCTAACAATAATCTAACTGATTCAAATATCCTCGATGGTGAGGATTTAGAGACCATGAAAATGAATGCTCGTAAATTTTATACGTATATGTCTAATATTTTAACCGGACATACGTATCCAAATGGCGCACCACTTAATGAAAGTGAAGCCAATGAAGCTCGAACAACTTTATATTCTTTCATATTTTCTGGGCGATGTGTGGTATGGCCTAGACATGGTGGTAAATTAATACTAACTGCAGAAGATGAAATAAATGGTCCTGAACCTACCTATCCATATCTTCGACTATTTTTACGATTTGACACGAAAGCTTTTCTTCAAGCTTTAGAAATTGCGTTTGAAGATTCTTATTTAAATGGTGTTGAAATTATTATGAACAATGATGATTATTATGAAGAGGAAATACCGGGAAAAATTATTAATCGCCAATTATTAGTCAACATATTACTCGAGGTAATGACGTCTGGATCTCCAGAGACTTCGGACTTCACACAAGCGGACATGTCATACCTATACAGCTTTGTGGCCCGCAATCTATCAAAATATCCACAATTCCTTCTGCTTTCACCGTATTCAATACAAAACTTATTAGAAAAACTCAGCATCGAGAACGATCCACGTACGCGGGAGGAACGACAGCTTTCTGTTGAATGCTTGTTATCTATTTATACTCCTCAAGATGAAAATATGATGGTTCAATTATACGAAAAGGCTGGGTTTTGGAGGGTCTTAGAACATGTGTATAAAGCTGAGAAAAAATACGGATTATTGATCACTACTTATTTAAAAGATCCTGATCGAAAACATGAAGTATTTGATTGTATTCGAGGATTGTTGAATCCTTGCAGTAAACTTACCAAAAAACAACATATGGAAGTTTTAGAAATAATTATGACTCACATTGATGAAATTGTTGATATCGATGGTGAACAAACAGCTTTAATAATAAAAATGTATTTTGATAGTGATCATAAAACTGTAATTGCAAACCTAGAATCGTCTCCAACCCGACTTTTCACATATTTAAGAGGACTTTTAGAACCATCGCAGGACGATGTCAAAGTTGGAGAACTTGTTAGAATACCAATGGTCGAAGAGCAAGTCATTTCGACTGAACCGTCATCGGATCCATCAATAATTACTCCAGATATTCATGAACGTTATATTCATCTAATGTGTAAATTTGATCCCACTGGTGTATATCATTATTTACAACTTCATCAAGGAACCTATCGACTAGAAAAGGTTTTACCTATATGCGAATCCGCTGGTATTGTGGATGCGGTGGTATGGATTTTAGAAAAAAGTGGTAATACCATGGGTGCTCTTGATAAAATTTTGGAAATTGTCCAAGATAAGAGGTTTGACATTCTTGCATTGGTTGAAGAGAAAAAAGATTCGAAGATCGACCGATGGACATTAATGGAAAAAACCAAAATTGAAACATCTTTAATGAAATTGAAAGGTGTTCTCAAGATTGGAATTCTTTTGTGTGAAAATAGTTGTCGACGTGCAACATTGTCTAATGGTTCTGAAGTTTTAGCTTTACCTCAAACTAGCAGTGCTAATGAGAGTGAAACTGAGTTATTATGGTTCAAGCTTTTGGATACATTTTTGGATGCCACTAAAGCCGTATCGTCAAGTGTAATACCACCGATTCCTACTATGATGTCAGAAAAACTTTTAGCTAATGGACAACTATCTTCATTCGAAATGCCAAGGTCAGCCATACCACCTCACATCGCTAATCATCTGGTCACGACTTTTAAATCGTACGTTCAATCTATCATGAGATCTTTGCTTTCGGCGACATCATCACCTTACGTTTCTTTCCCAAGACTATTGCTTCGATTTATACAATCACAAGCCAAAAGAAACAGTACTGTCTCGGACTTTCGGGACATTTTTGTAGGCATGATTGATACATACAAATATGAAGGTCAGTTGCTGGCTATGACCAACCGACTATTTGAAAAGGACTTGTTCATGAGTGTAGCAGGTGTTGTACGACAGCGTGGTAAAGGCTGGCGTCCTCGTAGGGGGACGTGTGAAGTGTGTGGGGGCCAGTTCTGGGGCACGGATATGAACCCCCTGACCCTCCGCACAGCACCTGGTAGAGGTTCATCCGAAAAAGAAACGACCCATTCATCAACTATATCCAACCCTGCCAATATTGCAGATGCCATAACATCCGAAGAAGAAACGCCTTCCGATATCGCTCATGCCATAAAGAACATAGAACTACCAGAAGATCAAGGCGATCTTCAATCGGTATTAGACCAGTCTGATGAAGCTTCAACATCACAAGACACTCCATTTCCATTACCATCATCCCCCATGCAACAACCAACGTCTCCAACGGTTCAAGAAAATGACTTACTACTTTTCCGCTGCGGCCACGGATACCATCGTAGATGTCTTGAAACTGAAGCAAATATCAGCACTGAAAATGAATCGGAAACAAAATGTACGGTATGTCAAACTGAACGACGGAGAGAAAACATGGTTCCACTTGAAATTAGGCGTGGTTCGCTGGATACTTCGGCCGGAAAAAACAAGGGTAAAGATAGACTTGTAAGTATATAAACTCTATAAAATCTGTTTCAGATTTTATAATATTTTTAATTGCTTTCTGTTGCTTAAAAAGTAATACTTTAAATATATTAACATTATTGCAAATTTAGTAAATTTAGTGAATAAATCTTATACGATATGATTTAATTCGATTTCAACCGAATATTTAATTCATTTACAATAAACTTGGTTTATTTGGTTTTAGTTTGTCAATCAATTTAGTTTTAGGTTCAACTGAAATTTATAGAACTGGGGTTAGGATGATTGGACAATCGTTGTTGTATTTATTTTTAAGGGTGTAACATTTCACATGTATAAAAATTAAGGTCATTTCTCGTATCAAACAGACGGTAATACCTATTGTGTTAAGGAATCTCTAAAGAGTTTTAAAATCTAATGAGGCGAAATTTTTTACTGTATACTTTTACACTGTCTGTTATGTCGCGTATGATGGCCAATAAAATTAAATTTCTGGTGTAATATAGTAATATAGTTTGGTGTGCAACTTATTGTCATATATCTATGCATTTTTGGCCAAGGATTAATTGCTACGAAAATTTGCACGTTAAAAACTTGTAAAAAAATTTTTTATTCTACGTATTTATAAATATTAGAATATTGGACAATGCCTAGTTTAAGTATGCAAAGACGCAGCCAGGGCGCCGCAACAAAATTGTCACGGCAGATCCTCGATTTTGATTGGATAGCGGTGTGGATCTGCAAATATTCATTTGGGGTCTCCTAGTGTTGGCTGGCTAAGCCAGCCGACCAAAATATTGGCTAAACAGCTGGCCTTTCGGAAATTTCACAAAAATTATTTTCGGAACTTAGGTATCAGAATTTTTAACTACTTATAATCATATGATCTTTAGCCGCATTAGCCAGCTGACTCTTTTATATCGGCTGGCTTAGCCAGCTAAGCCGGCTTACGACACTACGTAGCACAGAATTTTTTGTGCAATTTTTAATTAAAATGGATAATTATATGGGGTCAACACTATCCATAATCAAGTACGTACCAATTTTTCAACCTATTAAATATACTATACTCGGAAATAAAAATGAAAAACTTGCGTTTCTTTTATGAGGTTTAATACTGCGATAAACCTAAATAAGGAATTTTTAACATATTTGTAGATAAATCAAGGGTTCATACATTTGCTAACCTTTTTTTCAACTTGGCTAAATGTACATTTACAACAAAGAATAATGAAAAAACAAAATTGCTTTCTTTATAAATTTATTATAGATGTAATCTTATATAGCAATTTGTAAAAATTTGAATGCTATCTTTAATTCTAGTATTAACGTTAAAAAGATAAAAATTATGCATTTGATTGGCTAATTATCAAATGCCTTCCTACATATGAGCTAATCCAGTAATCGACTAAATCTTCAGATCTTTTGTAAAAACCGGTTAAAATCCGTATCCAATCATAGAGCAGATTGTGATGATAATCGTTACGATATGATGTAATTATAGTGAGAGTCAATTGAATATAGCTTTAAAATAGGGCTGTTAAATTGCAAATTCAATCCGGTCCAATCCTAGGATCTAAAAAGACAGTCCTGGACTCGATCCTTTAAATCACATGAAAATACAATACATTTTATAGGATTTAGATCCTGTATCAGATCCTGAATTGAATCTATCGAATAAGTATATAAAATGTATTGTGTTCTCACGTGATTTAAGGACCAATCCTGCAGGTCCTTGTAAGGACCGGTTAGGATTTGGTCCCTAACCATTCTAATTATTGTTATCAAAATTTTTTTCTCACTTTTTTCTTTCTGCCGTGCAGTTTATCTTTTTTTTTCACGTTTATATATTTTATTTATATCCTTTATTTACTTGTTTATATATTCTGTTTACTTGTTTATAGTTTATATGATTTTTTTTATCTTTAGACGCGTTCTTTATCAAAATCTTTGTCTAAAACGGTTAACTTTAAGATAAGTGTTTCATTCTTTACACACTTGTGTTCAGTTGCTACACCTATTTAACCTTTCGTTTCTGAAAGATTCCCACTTGGGTTTCTTTCAAAGGTAAGTAGTTGAAACTTTTGTCTGGTCTTATTTACTAGGCATCAATGGTGAGTTTACCTATGTCGACTACGGTAAGCTTGTCTGCGGTGCTTAGTCTAAGTAAGATTTAGACTCACTCCTCCTGGCGAGGCCCCTTTCCCTGGTTGGTGTAAGCGCGAGGTTTTAATCCTCCCAGGGCCAAAATCATAATGTTTCGTTTTTTACAAGCCAGGTTGTAAAAAACAATGAAACATTTACACCCTTTCTGAGATATTCTTTTTGAATATCAATGATGATTTTGCACCAGAGTTTTTAGTGAGTAGAAATCTCACACTGTCTAGAAGGTAACTTCTAGTCGCCTTTTGAAGGTTTTCTCTGGTCTGACCAAAAAAAAAAAAAAGTCAATATGATATAATTTAGCTAACGAAACTTAATTTTTTTTTATATAGCTTAGTAGTTGTTGCACTTTATTCACCATTATACTTGTTAAGTTTTTTTTTTTTTTATTAGATATTAATCTGTGGACTCAAGATTATTATTGAATTTAATGTGTTATTTTTAAAATTTTACATTTAGCGTTAGAAACCTACCATTCGATGATGAACAAGATACTTTAACATCTATATTTCATATATTTGTAGTAATCAAAATATTGCAAAAATTCAAGAAAATTCTTGAGCAGCTTCCAAAATGACTAATGCTATCGTTAATAAGAAATTGATCCACAAATCTTTTGACAAATTTCTTAATCGTCATTATTGAATATTTTGATGAATGTAAAGTATGCGTAATATCAGTGTATGCTTTATACACCAAAGTTGTTTGATTTAACTCCTATTCGTCTTTGATCCTTTTAATCAATTTTTGAAATTCAGTCATCGGTAAAGTTTGCAAAGAATGAAAAAGTGAATTAAGAACAAGAAAGTAGTAGAGAATTTTATATTTTATTTCTTTTTTCTCGAATTGGCTCAGATAGGAAAAAGAGAAAATAACGTAAGAATTACACAATAACGTCTAACCTTCCTTCAAGTCATGATCGGAATTGATTAATTTTTGTATCATTCGATTCGTCTTAGTAAAACGAATCGAATGGTACTGAAAATGGTTAATTCTGGTCAGTGTATCGGAAGATATCATAAAAAAATGTAAGTGCGTCAAAATACCCGACCCTTCCTTACGTATACGAAATTGAAACAATTGCCTAGTTATGATTTTTTTTTTGCACTATAGTTGAATTGTTTTAAACTTCAATTGGATAGATAGTTCTTAAAATACAGTATCGTAACTTAAGTTTTGAAAATTTTTAATATACAATGTAATTAATATAATTGGTCAACCGATTGACTCGATTTTGTTTCATTGATTATATTCTCAATAAATGAGAACCTTAACTTTTTACTACTTTTATTTCTTTTAAAAAATCCAAATTTGGAAGTAACAATCCAAATTTTAGGACTTGAATACCGATAACGATAAATAACAGACCCATAAAAAAATCATTAGTTTGGTTAGAACAAGGACGAAAGAAAAGCTAAAACATCTATTCTATATGCTTGTTAAAAACGTGAATAATCAATATTATATTACAAATGATGTATAAATTCGAATATTTGAATCAACATGAGCATTTCGCTCATAGTATCAAATTATAAAGTTTGTTTACACAGTATAAGGAGGTGGTCGTGCTTTTTCTGAGCTGCCCCCAAGTGAACGTCTTTGTTTAAGGGTATGTCCACCGATAATACCAAGAATCATATATATGATTCCGATGATAAATACGAACCATCCAGGGACTATTATAAATATGTATAGGCTGAAAAAAAGAAACAAATTTAATGTTAATAAAAATGAAGAAAGTTAAAATTTTCAAAGGTTAAAAATTACCTGTAACCCAAAAAACTGGTGCTATTTATTCCACTATCATAACCAAGGATGAAGGACCCCGTGCTAAATATAGGTATTAAAAAAAAATTAGCAACCATTTAGAAAAAAAATACGTCATTTCTACACATAAGTATTAACAAAATATATATATACGTACATGATTTGCAAGAATCCAAAAAAGGTCCAGCTATGAAGGACGGGGAACCAACCGAAAATCTTTGGTAACCCAATCTCAACCAAAATCAAAATAAGAGCTTCAATTCCAATCACGCATCGATTCAAGAACTGAAATATGATATTACTTTGACCAAGACTTGAAAATCCTTTGGCATTCACGATAACGCAGGTTGAGATGACCAGCACCAAAGAGAATACAGATAGTACGCGCAGCGCATTGAGAGCAATCCAAACAAAGTTCATTTCGAATAAATATTATATTAGTGTTAGGGAATAAAATAAAATGATAATTTATAGAGTCTATATCGATATTCTATAAGAAAAAAAAAGAGTAAAAAGATTATGGTGACTTTACAAAAGTGAGGAACCAAAATTTCGTTGAATTGAGGTATATTTATACTAATAAATCTCCAATTTTAGCATACTTCTAAATTAAAAAATAAAACTGATAAAGAAAACAAGGCTAATTAAACAGCCAATCATAATGCACAGATTTAAGATCGTAAATAACATTAATGTTAATATTGTTACCTATTATGAACAAAGACATTGATTACAACGGAAAATTTAATAAAGATTAATTTTCATGAACCTTTAGAAACAAAGGATTGAAATTGAAATTCTAGTATTGAGCATTGTTCTTCTTGAAACATCTGTACATTAATATGAATAAATATGTATCAGTTATTTGCATATGATACTTTGTTACCTTTTTAGAAAGGAACATTTTAGACTTATATATTGTTATTATTATTTTTTTTAATTATTTTTTTTAAGAAACGTATCTTTTAATAACCGTCAGATGTCGACAATTTCTAATATTAGTTCTCTGTTCAGCGAGTACGTACGTAGCAGTTTTTTTGTTACATATATCTATATTAGGATTTGCGATTGCAAAATCTGCGCATAAACTTAATACTTATTGCATAGCATATGCAATTGCAAATTTTACATATTAACGTTAAGGCTAATTTCGCATAATTAATACGTAGTGCATAATTTGTGCAAAATTCTATGTAGAGTTTTCACTTATGTATAATATTGATAGTTAACATATTTTAGAACTACTAACCAAAAATTTAAAAGTAATTAATAATATATTGTAAGATAGACAGTAAATCTGACCTTAACGTTAAGCTTTTCTGCATATAAAAATATCCTTAGTGATAATCGACATTCACTTTTTGAAACGTCTATTGTGGCATTAAATTTTATATATTCAATGGTCATATGGAAGAATAGTTCAAGAATTGATAGGTAAAAATAAAAAACCTGCTACGTAGAAATATAGTCGAATATATATTTTCGATATAATTTTTTTTCATATTTTATTTTAAATTAGATAAAAAAAATTTTTTAAATTGGAATTCGATTTTTTTTTGTTTAAAAAAAAAGATTATGATTTTATTTTTTTTTATTTATTTTAATTAATCGAAATAATAAACTAAAGCTATTAAGTGATCGCATATTTCTACTTGATTTGCATAATTTTTTTGCTTTCAAAAATTCATCACAGTATTTGGGGTCTGCTGCCGCAGAAAATGATCTATATGAAAATTATTAAGTCACCTGCCCTCGAAAATCAGATATGATCTAAAAAATTCATTTACTTGCACATACACAAAAAGACGTGATATCCAGCTATTCTGCCTTGTTAAGGAAAACTACTTTAGCTCAAGGTTTTTTAGTCAAGATCGACAAGAATGAAACAATCGATGAACTATTTCGTTAGTATTGATGCACATAAACTCAAATTATGGAAGGTAGAAATACCAATTCTGATAACACTATTCAAGGAACCAACGTTAGACAAGGAGTTGCTTCCTATGAATAATATCAGAGATTATTGGAACGAAATACCCCAAATAAAACATATCCACGTCATTGTCGAATTGTCGGACAAAATATACGTTTCGTTTTTCGTAATACTTAATAATGTGTTGAATTTTCTCACTTAGGTGAACCAGAGAAAGGTAACTTTCCTGGTAGTATAATCTGATCATTTATAATTTCCAACAAACATCGTTTTACATTCAGGTGTGCCTACAGCAACCGAAAAGGGAAAATTTGTGATGAAACATGGTGATCTTATTAATTTCCCGGACCCCTTAATAAAATTTTTAAATAAATTACTTTATATTATGTATAATAAAAATTTTTAAATTGGTTTTTTTAATATTAATTAAAATATTAATTACGTACAATATAGATATAATAAAATAACTACAGTAAACTCTGGATATAACGAATTTAAAAATTTTAAATAATATTAGTTCGGTATAACAAGAGATACGGCTCTTAAGAAAACATAGTAATTCTATATAACGAACTTTTTTTTTGGTCAGAACCTAAGGTTTGGTATAGAAAGAGTTGACTGTATATAATTTTAATATTTTTTTAAAAGAGGTAACCTATACTACATTTAATCCCTCAGAAAAAACATTGCAAGAATATTTTATGAATGAAGAGTTCAAAGCTTGTGGTCGAAGACGTCCTATTATTGGTTACTAGAAAGCCAGACTTTGTATTTATCGCAAAAGGTAATCCCCTAGATGCATTGCATATCGTAGCTGTTGAAGAAATAAAACAACGACAAATCAACAGACCATTCAGTAATGAGGATATAGGACAAAGTAGTGTCATTTGGCGAAAAGGTCTCCAACGTCAGCATCGGCGAGCCAACATATATGTGATGTTAACAGATTTGCATTTATAAAGTGATTAGAAACAACTTTAATAACAGTGACAATAGCCGATTTTATTAATAATCATGGAATGTGATCAGGAAGAACTTGGATAGGTAGATCCATCATTGGAATTCAACTCTAAAAATACTGTAAAGTTAGTTCGATCCATCAGTTCAGGCAGAACTAGCATTGTACATGAAGGGAAGCTAAATGACATTGATTCTGTGGTAAAATTGGCAAAAAAGATCAATACTTTTATTGTTTTAAAATGGAAATAAAAGTGCTAAAAAACCTTAGTTCACCTCACATTCCGAAACTCCTTCTATATAATGAAAAAGCCCTTGTTGAAACTCATCTTGGTACGAAAGTCAGAAGTTTACAAAAAGAAGATACCAGAAATATTATTGAAACAATAGAACAGCGCATTCATACATATGGATCTTCAGAGATATAACTTTATTCGGGATAGTGTATCAAACAATGATATTGGGAAATTTGCTGGTGCACTTGAGTACATGCACAATGATGTCTTAAGATTATTGGCCAACTCACCAAGTATTGACTTGACATGTTTTTTTAAGAACATTTTACTTAATGCTTCACAGACCAACGAATGCATTAATGGAGAGAGCCTCTTTATAGGAATTATGACTTCAAGTTACGGGCAAAAAATGTATTGGACTTTTGGTCCTCTCATGGTAAATCATCTTTTTGCCAAAAAATCTACAAAGAAGCAAATGACTTGATTTAATCAAAGAGCCTTGTATCATTATTTTAATGCTGATTACTAATCTTGATTAATTAAAGTAAAAAAAATTAGATTAAATATTGAATCATCAAATCAACATGTAACAAAAAATATATATTTTTTATCAATTATTCTATACGTAGGAATTTCTATTTGATAAGATTTTTTTTTTTAGCATTAGATAATAAATATATATACAATACGTACAACGGTTCGAACGCCCATAGCAGTTTCAAATAGATCCAAATCGAGATTTTCTTATTAATGTAACATTTTTATTTTTATTCTAATTCGTACAAGACGATCCTTATAATTCCGATGTACATAAGAAACAATAATATATTTTTTACAACAATTGAAGATTTTTGCATCACTTACTCAAACTAAATTACTTTCTTTATCGAGATTAATACTATAAAGGTGATATACAACATACATAACAGTCATTAAATCAGTTATTAAATCTGATTGGTACGACATTCACTGCATATGTGAAAGCTACCACTGGAATTGTTCCTTGAAGTTAACTTTAGCCATAACATGGAGCTGTGTCATCTCAAACCGATAAAGCCATGGCTTAAGCTGTAGCTTAAAGCTACGGTTTAAATTATGCCTTTTGAATCACAGCCTAACTCAAGATTTCACATCGTCATTATTATTATCGTTACATCGAACTATAATGTTAATAGGAACCACGGCTCAAATCATGGCTCGAACTATTACACCAACAATCATAGCTCAAGCTAGAGCCATAACTTCCAGGAGCCGAGCCGAGCCATCCAAGCCGATAAAAGTTCTAGCTAATATCTACCGGTATCTACTACACATCACTCTGGTTAGAGCCCTGCGTAGGCCTAAAAAATTCGTACTTTTGCCGGTCCGCAAAATAAAATTTACTATGTTTTCTAAAAGCTCGGCCCACAATTTACTATGTTCTTACACACCAGGCCTGCAATTTTGAGAGGTTTTTAAAATTTTCAAACTTCAGCCCGGTCTGTGTAGGCCTCTAACTCTGGTTATATCGACACACCAAAAAATATCCGATATTAAGAATATAGGTTCAAAATTTAAAAAAAATGTCATTATAACCAGGTGTCGATAAAATAAGAGTGACGTGTATTAAGAAATTTAGTGGTTTTGAAATTATTGAGAACCACTTGTTTCGAGAATAGAAATGCAGGCGAATTGCCGTAACTTGTCGTAACATGATAAAGTAACGACAAAAATGCCGTAATTCATTAGGTAGTTGCGACAAGTTACGGCATCACTATTCGAGAACCACTTATATATATGGTTTTCGAATGTGAGGCTTCAAATAATATATAGCAGAAAACAGAAATTAAGTTCGGAGTTTGGTTATGAAATATGCTTAAAATATTAATGTTATCATTATTATTAATTATCGACCATAAGCAACCCGATGGATTTATCAGTTTAGTTTGTTTAGTTTATTAGTCGACTTTAATTCCGAAAATTTCGAAAATTTAGCGTATTAATTTTAAAAGCTTTTCAACAAACAAACAAATTATTAAGTATCTTAATTTTTGTTACATATTAGTCTTACAATTTTATAGCACGAAATCTCACCCATTATTTATTGATATTTTATTATTTTCCTTTTATTGCAATTATAATTGCCGGAAATTTACTTTTGTTCTTTTTCAAATTATAATATAAATTCAGAAGAATGAAGGATAAAAAAAAAATAATAAATGTTTAGATTTATTACTGTATGTAGTATTTCTGTGGTAAAATAATGTTTCTGGAGACAAATCAATTTAAGATTAGTGTGAGATAAATTATGACTTTAGATTAGGCATAAACCTATTTTATTTTTGACCAGACTAACGGCTTTCGAATTTACAATAAATCGATTTATGATTAACCATAACAAAATTGTCTCGATTTTGATTGGCTAATTGCCGTGGATCTGCAAAATTTTGGCCCGCATTACTTATTAATTTCTGGCTGGAAGTAACTTTTTAATTTTTCTTTTCATTCCAAAAATAGAAATTTTCAAAAGAATAGGCCCACACAATAGTAAAATTAGCACAGGAACAATGATTTCATTAGTAAAATTTTGATTTTTTGATCGTCGCTCTTAGCCAATCAAAATCGCGAACCGATTTTGGTGCGACATCTAGGATTAATGATTAATGTTAAATCGAAAAATGATTACTACGTACACTTTTTTGCAAAGCGCAATAACATATTACTGTAACCCCATAATTTTCGTGATAACGATAATGAGAAATTTCGGAGATTCTAAATAGTCTATCAATCATATATTTAATCAGTAATATTTCTATCTATTTTGAAATCTGTAAAATTCAATTTCCCGTGATTTTACATGTTATCATGATCTGCGTGGGCCACACTTTTTTGCAAAGCGCAATAATCATGCACGATCTAGGCGGGGACAGTGAACAATATCGATTTGATTTGGCAAAAATTATCGATATAGTCAAAAATATCGATTTATTAATCAAAATGCACGATTTGGTGTAACGCAATATAACGTGATCAACAGTTCAGGTTGTGTTGTCCGGCCCAAATTATACACTTAATTTTGCCAGTGGCACCAACATATTTTAACTGATAGACAAATTTTTTAAAGTCATAAAACGTTATATTAGGGTCAGGTTTATAATTATAACGATACTTGTCTTATACTGAAATTCTCCAAGGAATTTTTTTACTAACGCGCAGAAAATGGTTACATAGACGAAATTTTGAGTTACGGCGGTTTTTTTAAAAAATCTTAGTTTTTGTGATATCTTAATAATATTTTAAATTGGATAAATATTTTCGATATAAATCGATAGAAATCATCACACATCTGAAATGCACAAAATTCTTTGATGTTTAGGTTACCGTTTGTATTATGGTTAGATATTAGCAAGATATATAGTAAAATTGTTCGGGGAAACCTTTTTATTAAAGCATAAAAGATTGTTTCTTATGATGATTTTTGGAAAAACGAACACTTGTTTTGATCATGTAACGTTTACCTAGTAGTCTGGTACTAACCTGTCACACTTTCCGGACTTGCCATCTGCAAAAATCAACCGACCCCAACGATTTACAGATTTACTACAGCAGTGAGAGTCCCGATCCAAAGTGAATCCCTCTCGCCTGTGATCAATCACAAATTAAATTATTTATGTTGGATTCAATTGTGATGGATATAATCCCTCACCAGTTTCAATATACGTGTAACATTAACAGTCTCTGCTGTACAGATTTACGCCATACAAAAACCGTGATCAAATTCATGTGACTATGTATGTGAAATTCGCACGTTTGACGCAACGCGTATACTTACCTGCGCCAGTAATACAAATTAGTATGTATTTACTGAAAAAAATAACGTAGATTTTTAAAATATAAAGATCGACATTCGCACTTATTTTTTGCTTTGTTTTTATCTTTTTGCATTTTAATTTTTTACACGAAAGATTACTTATCCAGTTAAATTTACAGGTGACGAGCTTAGTGGTGACGAAAAAAGATTATATCGGGTTGCAAGAAGATATTTCGAAAATTTTGAATTGTAGAAGTAGAACGTTACTCAACTTTTAGAATTTACAAATAGGAAGGGTGACAACAAGTTTTCATTAACAACTAGAAAGGAAATTTATACACTGTGGTTAGAATACTATTTACAAAAAAAAACTATCACTGTTGAAAAATATTTAGATCTTAATGAGGCAAAGGTAAAATTCTCCTGGCATTAATATATTCCTTTATTATATAATGATGAAAATTTTATTATTACTTGTGACGGCATGAATGTTTTTATGATTTCTGCTTAACTACGATAGTATACCTCACTCGCAGAGGCATTATCTTTCCAATTTGCGATGGTATTAAACCTCACTCGCAGAAATTTAATGTTTCCTCCAATTTGCGATGGTATAAATGCTATCTGTCTTATTTGCAGAAATATTTATATCTTATATTTGTGCCGTCGAATCTGATTTATAATTTTCAATATTAAAAAATATTTATATAAATGTAACATCACTAATAGTACTATTTGATATTTTAGAGAAAAACCGTTGATGTAAAACTTTCGGACAATCGCCGTCAAAATTATAATTCTTTCTCTTATGTCAAGAATAAAGTAATTTTAATTTCACTTATATCATTGTTTGAATTACTAATATAATACTCGATCTTTGGTAAATGCTAAATAATTCTCTATTTAATACTTTAAATTTTTAAAGTTTGGAAACAAATTTATAGTAAAACGGACATTTGTCTACAATCTAAGGGATACAACCAATTAATGTTGGCCGCTGCTTACATCTCAATGTTTTCAAAAGCATTCAAATACTTATTTGAGAACATAAAAATTTGTAAATTGCACTATGTAAAATTTTGAGAACATTCAAAAAAAAATTTTTTTCTTTTTTTTTTTTTGAGAACCTAAAAATTAAATTTATATGTTCTTGGAGAACAAAAAAAAATTTTTATTACTATGTATTTACAATACCCGGAGTCTTATTGGAAATCTTATTTTTGAAATTGATTTCTATTCACGATTTTCAAAGTTACTGTAAACAGTGACCAATGGTAGATTTTGATTTTTTTTTTTTATCCGAAATTCGCATCCAAAAAAAAACTAAGATACCTTTAGGTACGTACTTAAAGTTTTTTTTTTTTGTATGCTATCAAAGTTTCAATACTTTTTTATTTATTTGACTTAATAAATTTAGAAAAACTTATAATTCTTGTCGTTGGTTCTGGCGGTCGTAAGCATGCCATCGCCTGAAAATTGTCTCAATCACCTAAAGTTGAACATCTATTTGTAGCCCCAGGTAATTCGTCTGTTCAGGTTAGCAGACGTCTCGAATGACCAATAAACTAATCACTATTCTAGTCATAGCAAATTTATTATATGGGTCATGACTATCTATCAAAGTTATTATGACTGGGTCATTGGGATCGATCTGTTCAGAATTCAGGTTAATTAATACCTTTTAATATTTTATGAATGCACTTCATTTAGATAATGGAAGTACGGAAAAAGGGATTGATAAAGTGTCTAATGTAAATATTGGTATCAGTGACTTTGACAATTTGTCACAGTTTGCGCTGAAACTAATGTAAGCTAATATTAGACAACTGCTTTTGATGTTTACGAACTTAATATGAACTAATTACTATGTACGTTTTATATAGGTTAATTTGGTCGTACCTGGTCCCGAGCAACCTTTTGTAGAAGGCATTGAACTAACGTTTAGGAAGAGTACGTTTAGTATGATTTTTTTTGGTAAATTTTAATAGTTTCATTTTAAATTATTATACTTTTCATCATATAGTTGGGATTTGTTGTTTTGGTCCATCTCCAAAAGCTGCTATCATGGAAGGTTCCAAAACATTTTCCAAAAATTTCATGAAAAGGCATAATATTTTTACTGCCAATTATGAGGTTATCCATTTTATTATATTTTTCATGTTATATTTTACATAATTTGATTTTAAATAATTTCTAAAATTTATTTTGCCTGTAGAATTTTCTGATTACGAAAAGGCCAAAGATTTTTTAGAATTGGTTACTTATAATGTAGTCATAAAGGTACGAATATGCTTAAAATGGTTGCTCATAGAATTTTAATTAACTTTCTATGTTCATAGTTTATTTATGGTTGTCAAGGCTTCAGGTCTAGCTGGAGACAAAGGCGTCCTAATCCCTACTGATAAACAAGAAGCTTTAGATGCATTAAAAACAATAATGGTTGATAAAGTATTTGGATCTGCTGGTAAGATTTACTTTTTTATATATGAAATTTAACATTATTAATTTCAATATATAAAAATTTTTATCACTAGGCAACGAAGTTGTTATTGAAGAATTTCTTGAAGGTTAAGAATTGAGTGTCTTGACTTTTACGAATGGTTACACTCTTGTATCTCTTCCTCTTGATCAAGATCACAAGCGAATTTTTGATGGTGATCAGGTGGGCAACCATTGTTTTACATCATGTTATTTCATTTTATTTCATACTATTATTTATTTAGATTTACTTCGTGTTTAGGGCCTAATACTGGTGGAATGGGTTGTTATTGTCCTACTCCAATTGCAACGCCAGAACTTAACGCAAAGCTAAAGAATACAATTATTAAACCTACTATTGATGGCATGAGACGTGGTGGTAAACATATTATTTCTTGTTTATAATGAAAGAATACTATCAAAACCTAAGTTTAACCACTATCTTTCAAGCTTCCCATTTGTTGGGGTGCTTTTTACTGGACTAATGATAACTGCTTCTAGTCCAAAGGTGTTAGAGTATAACGTACGTTTTGGTGATCCGGAAACCGAAGTTGCTTTACCACTTTTAAGTGATGATTCTGATTTGGCTGAAATAATGCTGGTAATATAAATAATATTTCATAAAAAACTATTTTAATAATTATATAGTTAAATTCATGATCTCACATATAATTTTATAACATTGTGTAATGTAGGCATGCGCTGAAGGGCGATCAGATTCTGTTCAAATTAACACAAAACCTAGCTTCGCAGCTGCTGTTGTCATCGCCTCTGGTGGTTATCCCGTAAGTTATCAAAAAGGAAAACAAATTTTTATTGAAAATATTCATTCTGGTAAATTTTTATAATTGGTAATCTTGTAATATATCATTAATATATTAATATAAATTTGGTAATAACCATAATGCTTATTATGTAATTTGGTAATAACCATAATGCTTATTATGTAGAAACGTTGGTTTTTCATGCGGCAACTAGCATAAATGACGGTCAACTTGTTACTTCCCGGTGGTCACGTGTTTGCAGTAAATGTATTAAAATGATTCAATTTGAAAATATGATTTATCGAAAAGATATTGTTCATCGGTAAGGTGATATAAAAATTTTGTTAGTGTTATGTCATGTTCTCTTTCTAATCCATTTGATATATATTCAGTGCTTTCCCATATTTGTCTCAAAAGCCTGCAGAAATGACATATGCATCTGTTGGTGTTTCCATTGATTCCGGAAATATGCTTGTCCAAAAATTAAATCATTGGTGAAGAGCACTTTACGTGACGGTTCTGATTGTGAAATAGGTGGATTTGGTGGCATTTTCGATTTGAAAGCTGCAGAGTTTAATGATCCTATTTTGGTAGCTACTACCGATGGTGTAGTAACTAAATTGAAGATCGCACAGGCTGTCAACATCCATAACACTATGGGTTCGTGGTTTTTTCAATAATTCGGATTTAAAAAAAAAATTTCATTTTTGAACTAAACAATTTACCATACTATTAATTAAATCGATCTTGTCGCCATGAATGTCAATGATTTAATTGTACAGGGTGCTGAACCCTATTTTTCCTTGATTACTATATTAAATGCGATGTTGCAAAAGACGTAATAGAAAGTATTGCAACTGGGTGCTTAAATCAAAATGCGCGTTGATTGGTGGAGAAATGTCTGAGACGCCTGGAGTTTACAATAGCGGTTAGAAATAATCCCAATAATATATGTAATAACTTAATGTGTAGGAGATTATGATTTAGCAGGATTTGCAATTGGGGCGGTAGACATGTAACTATACTCCCACGTAAATCTGATATAAATGTTGGAGACATTCTTAATCGTCAGGTATTCATTCAAATGGTTTTTCATTGGTTCGAAAAATTATTGATAAATATAACCTTGGATATGAATCAACTTGTCTGTGGAACTCAAAACGTGAAGAATTACTTACACCAACAAAAATTTATGGTCTTGTAAAAGCAATGTCACATACAACGGGTCGAAGTTTTGTGGATAATATACCCAATAGTCTTTCCTGAACATATTGGAGCTATTATAGATTCAACATCATGTAAAATACCGGAAGTATTCAAGTGGTTAGCAAAAAATGGAAATATACAGTATAACCTCGATATAATGAAGCTCTGGAGCTGGAGGTTTTGCTTCGTTATATCAAAACTTATTAGTAGTTTCGTTATATGAGGGCTAATTTAAACATAAAAATTAGAAATAATCTTCGTTATCGTTATATCGAGGTTATACTGTACCTTCTAGTATGTATATTTAAGGGTTTTTTTAAATATTACATCTTGATTATACATGTAAAAGTTTTTTTAAATACCTTTTTTTAACGTGATCATATTCTCGTCATAAATAGACGATCTATCCCAGACATTTAATTGTGGAATAGGAATGGTCTTGATTGTATCGCCTGATGATAAGGTTAATGCTATAAAATTTACTTAAACAGTGTGAATACAGTTTGCTTTAAGACCGAGGGTTTGATACCAATATCTACAAAATTGGTCATGTAGTGACAAAAGAGATGAATAATGGAAAGCAAGTTGTTATTAATGGAATTACAGAATTATTTTGATTGTAAAATGATTTCTGTAAATATATGTACATACAGATACTTCATGAATCTTTAGTTTTATTGAATATATCATAATTCATCTAAACAAATATATAGCTAAAAATTTCGATCAAAAGTAAAGGTTGTACTAAAAATTTTTTTTTTTTTATGCTGTACTTGTTAGTCGGATTTTGAGGCACATTTCTATAAACATAGAACTTAGGTTTTCTTAGAACTACTACCCGAGTTTAAAATAATGTTACAACTCGAAGGCTGAAAAGTCGTTTCATATAGCTTAGCTTATAACTAATCTATCGAATTATTATTATTATTAAAGACTGTACTTTGTGGTAGTGATTTATTGGTAATATGGGATTAGCTATTACAACTATTTTTTTACAAACATGAGAGTACAAACCTTAACCTGCCAACCTATTGAATTATTTAAACGCCAACTAATCAATTAATCGATTGAAGAACTACTTAATTGCAACTAATGAATAGGGTTGTTGATTAGAGTATCATGCTCTGATATACTTCAAACCAGACTAGAGTGATCGTTATGTATTGATTCACAATGGTTAAAAATGCATTTATCATTTTTGTTATGGTATTTTATATATATATACCGCCCAACAACTGACTAATTAATTAGTATGTTTGTTCTAATACAGCGTTATATTAGTTAAAAATAACAATTGAAACATGATTGTATTATTTGTAAAGCAATGATACAATAGATTATTTTAAAATTAGAAATTGGAAAATTTTTTTCTTATACTTTACGTTGTAACGGGCTAATAGGGCTAGTTCAAGGATAAAGCAAATGCGACGAATTGTCGCTTGAAAAACGAGTATGTCGCATAACGTTCCTCAACGGGTAGTAGAGGCGGATTTACGATTTGGCACAAGGTCAAGGCGATAGTTAAGGAGCGTTACAAAATAATAATAGAGACTTTAAAGAACGTTTTTATTTTTATGGGTTTAGAGGGTCTTTATTAATAATTTTTATTATTTTTATAGGGATTTTATTGGACTTGCGAACTATACTGACCAAATTCCACCTCTTTTATGGCGAATTGACCGCGAGAAGAGCACGCACAAGACCATGACTCTTCTCTCTGTTCCCGTTGAATTCCAACCTTATTTGTTCTAACCTTTAACCCCTTCGTACACTATAGTTGTTATCCGAAACCCGAAACTATATATAAAATCCCGAAACCGAAACCCGAAACCCTTTCCGAAACTCTAACACTACTGAAAGGCTTAGAAATTTAATTTTAAACGTTAAGACTTAAAGTATAGTATAATTAGATTGCATTTCAGGAAAATTTTGGTTACTTTATAGTAAATGTGCATTAATTATTAACATTCCAATTTTAAAGTTTCGGAAAGGTTTCGGGTTTCGAGTAACAAGTATATCGTACACACAGCCTTTCGTTACTTTAGCATTTCTCACGGTCGTAATAGAACCGATGAGAAATGTTTCGGTATTCGTTGCCCCGGGGCCAGAACCTAGCATCTTCACCACAATCGCTCCCCTTGACATCGTCTCACACTTTTCCCAAGTAGGGTAAAGTGGAGTCAACGTCCATTCCCAGCCGGTAGGGTGCGAACAGGTTGGTCCAGATCGACCTTTCTTTAATTGGAGGGAGGCTTGTGTACTGTCATATGGCTTTCTTTCACCTCTGACAACGTATAGACATAACTGATTTTGTGAACCATTTTAGACTTAATTTATTAAGCTTAGCCTGAAAAATGAAACAATGAAGAGATTTTAATAACATATTACATATATGTCGTTTACTTGATTTTTAATGAGGTAGCTTAAGATAAAGGTTTACGCATTTCTGATGTTTATTTCTGAAGTTTATTGCCTTGATAATTACTTTCTCAACCCAACATAATAACTATTTTGCGATCAGAGTTAGCAATTGGGCGGATTGGACATATAAAATTGCGTGAACTGGACGGCTCTATATGTTCAAAACAATTGTCATAGGAAGACTTTCGTATGATTTGCTGTTTAAATGAATTTAATCTTAAATTATTTATACAGTTTAAAGTACTTTTTAAAAAAAATACAACTACGAAAAATAAACAAAAAAGAAGTATATAGAAAGTTTATTGAGGTTGTAGGACTTCACTATTAAAAATGATCAAAATTCCTTTTTGTTTTAGAGAAGTTAGAATGGTAATAACTTAATTATATCTATCTTTAAGAAGTCGCTATTATGCTATCTTCTCTAAAACAAAAAAGGATTTTGATTATTTTTAATAATGAAGTTCTACAACCCTAATAAAACTTTTTATGTCTCTTTTTGGTTTTTTCTTCATAGGTTTATTTTTTTAAAAAATACTTTAAACTGTATAAATAATATAAAATTGAGTTGATTTAAGGGTAGAGTACAACTTTTGCAAATTATATATAAATTAAATGTACAATTTTTTTAATATTTTATTTTACTTAAGATTTTATTAAATAAACTATTTTTTTAGCTTCTAAGCAAAGTTGTAGAACAGGTCTTTGTAATTCTAATGATAATAAAATTATTAAAATTAGTTAAATATTTATTGAGATATGAATATTTAAATATTTAGATTTAAAATTTAATAAAATTTTATATTATATTTTACAGAAATTAGCCAATCAAAATAAATTATTTTGTTACCTTGAAGAATTTAAATTTACTTCAGAGAACTTTATAATATATACAAGTATATTTTTTTAAAATAATTTATCAAGTAAAATTTATACATTAAATAAAGTATGTTTAACTTTATATACTATAAAAATTTGATAAAATTTTTTTTTTTTTAAAAAAGAGGTTTATTCTCTATCTCTTTTATTAATTAGTTAATTTACATATATAAGATACATGTTGAATAAACTAAGCTAAGAGAGATGGAGGTAAGAGTTACTTTACTCTTAACCTATTCTTTGCTAGAATGGTTGATAAACTTTTAGTCTATGACAAGATAATTAAGAGAAGATTGTTCATATATAATGTAATGATCTATTTTTTTATTTAATAAAGAAAATAAAATTGGTTTAGTTTTGTTTAGTATTAGGATTTGTAATAGTGATGAAGTTGGATAAAAAGAGTTATATTGTATTGCTCTAGATGAAAGTCAAAGTTCTTTATATATTGTAAAGATGATGTTGTAATAAATGAGAGGAGCATATTTGAATTTATATTTATTATTTTCAAAAGGTGCCAGAGTACTGTTAGTTATTATATTTAATGGTATTTGCTTATTGACATAATTTGAAATAAAAGTCTGAATAAAGCTATTTATATCATGACTAGATATTTTTAGATTATTTGATATCTAGTACACTACATGACTTATTATAGTTGAGAAGTGCAAATGGTTTTGAAGGCAATTTAGAAGGTGTATAATATCTTCAGGAGCACTATAGTATCTTAGACAAAAGTAATTTGGGTGTTTAGTAGCATTTCTCCAGTGAAGAAGAAGGTGAATAGGCAATTTCTCTAATAATAGTTTGATTTTAAAGTTTTTTAGTGCAGACGAAGTTGGATTAATTGTTAATGCTAAGAATTTTTCTTAATATGATATGTATTGTAAAGTTAAGAACTAGTTAATATTGTTTTGTGGAGTATGCCATTAAGAGATTTGTTGTTGAAGAAACTAAGTCATTTTGTTTGTAATTCATTGTATCTGTTTTATTATAGTTTTCAATAAGTAAGTGCATGAGTTGTCAAGAAGTTTTGGAATAAATTGATTATATAGAAATTTTTGTAATATAGAATCCAATAGGAAAATATTGTTCTAAGTTTCTTGGTTTTAAGTTCTTTGTCAAGAGTAATTGTAAGTATGTGATTATATGTTACTGCTTTTAGTGTTAGAAGAATATATGTGTTGTTGCTTGTCTAATATAGGGTAATTGTATAGTTGAACAAACTGCATAAGATTGATTAAGTTAACAAATGAGGAGTTGTTAGTATATATTTTTATATTAGCATAGTGGTTTGTAGAAGTAAGCACAAAAGTCAGCAATGTTATTAGAGAATTTAGATGAGAAGGCCAAATGTTGATAAAATAGTCAAAGAAGATATAAAAGTGCTAAAGATGATATTTTGCTATTATGCAAGATTCATTTCCTATATTTTGTCGAACATTTGTTATATAAAGTGTTATATTTTTCTTATTAAAATTGGCTTTGGTTAAGATATCTTAAAGTGGTATTGAAGGATTGTTAAACATGCTAAATGGTCTGACTAGATTAGATTGTATTGTTTTTTGATTGTAAAGTTGTATTATTGCAGATAAAGTTAGGTCTATAGCCTTTTTAAAGTCACCTAAATCAATATAAATCTTTTTTTAACAGTCTACTTGAAGATTATAAATTGTTTTGGTTGCATTGAAGTAGCAGTATTTGGATAAATAAGCTTTATTTTTTAGTATGCATTCTTAGCAAGCTGTTAGTATATTGTTAAG